AAATCTACATTTTCCATCTTTGTACCATCATTCTCTAACCTACTGTCTCTGCCAAAAGATAGATACTTTATGGGGAAAGAGCCCAAAACCTAAAGTAAAGACACAATCTAAAATACATTAACCAGTACTTCTTTATACCAGTGACTCCTTCCATCTACTCTTCTATATATTGCATTGCAATACTTACATACTTTACTGCAGTGATTTATTTTCTACTGCTGTAAGGCACACTAACAAACTTCATTCTAAATCTCACTTTTACTTGAGCAAGCCAGTTTGCAATGAAAAATTTATGAATATTCCATGGTTATTTGCCCCAAAAATCTCACTTTTGGAAGCAGCAGTATCACTCAAGGCAGATATCTGCATACACAGAACATTTACAAACAATAGTTAGGTAATGGCAGTACCATAATCAACTTACATTTTGTGAAGATAAGAATGATGCTTAGAGACAGATAAAGCAAGGAATCAGAAGTAGAAATTTCTCTTCCGAATCACCAATTATCATAGATCACACCAATTTGACTGACGCCTGGTACCCACTTGGGGGGTTACTGGTCTCAGTGGACTAATATGCACATCGCTACTGTTGCAAACACACAGTCCTCTTAGAAATGACAAACACAAGGACCGAATGTGTGTAGGTACCTCTACACATCCCACTCAGGGGAACTGTCAGTGGGGAGACGCACGCAGCTCAGAAACGGGCACTTGCTTCAATGTATTTGGTCTAATCAAAACTGTGCCTTAGTGTTACAGAGAGGCTGAAACAACAGCACTTCTTCCTCCCCTTTCACTCTTCTCTCTCTGTGTTTCCCTTTTAATACATCCTGCTGGTATGAATGAAACACAGCTTGTAGAGTGCTATTTCTGGAGGATCCAAATTATAAGCTCTGAAGCTGCTGCACAGCAGAAATCTGTACAGAAGCTATTTTGTAGTAGCTGTGGAAAGGCCTGAATATGAAGTTCATATATATATATATATAAAGTTCAGTACAACTTATCCAAACAAATTTTTGAAAGTCATATTGTTCTCTTATCTCTCAGAGATGAAACTGTACCCTAATCTACTTCAAAATACATACTCAAAGTTCTTGTATTTTTTATACTTTTGAGTTAGCCTACAAGTATTTTCTTAAGGCAAAGACAAGTAGCTTAGACACAGAAAATTGGTTACTCAATCACTGCAAGCTCCCAGCATGCTTCCATATACCTTACTATAAGAAAGCAAATACAGTTTCAATAATGCTAGGCCTCTTTATATTTATTTTTAACTAAACCTATTTAATTCATATATCTAAAGAAATTTCAGACCATACTTAAATCAATACCAACATTAGCAGTGCAGGGATTAACAAAAGCCATAGCTGGACAACCCCTCATTATTGGTGTATTTCTAACAGTTTGAAACAGGAAGTATACGTAAAGCAGTAGTGCCTAAAGAACATGCTTGCTCAATCTTGTAAAGAGTTAAGACCCTTCATCATCGTCATTATAAAGTCCCTTCATCATTGCCATTTTGATTACATCATACAAAACATCCAAATTAAAAAAACATCCAAATTACAAACATGTTTTTGTATCATAAATATGAGGAGGTGAGGCACTTTTACTTCCAAGTGAAGTGGTGAGGTCTGGTGTTTATTGTTTTTGTTTACTATAATGCTTATTATTATCTCAGTGTAGGAGCAGCATACGGACAGTGAATAATATGTATCACAGCAAATAATATGTATCACAGCTGAGGTGTCACATTATTGCCCTGTGGTGAAGTTAACACAACTGAACACAGGTTCACATCTCCGTTATTTCCTGTTCACAGTCTAAAACATGAATCTAAACTGCAGTGGACTTGCTGCAGTTCATAAAGCACAGTTGGCTTTGCTATGAATTATTAGATTGTGAAACAGTGAAGTGACTCAGCTATAGCTGAGTACTGCTTAGAGGGGACAAGGAGGCTCCAGCAGAAGCAGGGGGTATGTGATGCATGAGGAGGGATGCAGGGAAAAGGAGACAAAGCACTTGAATTGCTGCAGCCTTTTTGCTCAGTGGCCATGAGTCAGAAACCCAACTGTCTCTCAGTGGTCCAGATGAAAACCAGGATAGTACTTATTTCTGAAGTATGGCCAGTATACTGTAAGTACAGTATATATTAAAAAGACAGACACTTCTTGCACTGTGGTAATAGGGAAGTATAAACTTAGAATATAGAGAGCAGCTCCATAAGGATCTACAGGGGACGCCTTCAATCGACCTCCACACTCTTCATAATGAAATGCTAGAAAGATGCAAGGAAGAACGTTAAGTGCAGCTTGGCTTTACCTTGCCAGAAGTGGAACCCCTCCTTCCACTTTGCTTTTTCCTTCACAAAGGAAGCTTAAAATGCAGCTGAATAATATAAAAGTAGTATCCTAAAAAGGTATCTCATATAAATTAGATAGTATTACTTCAATCCCAAACAGAAACTACAGAAAGTCTACAAAAAGCTGGTGGAGATGGCCTCTAAACCTCCAAGTACTCCTCTAACTCCTGACAATAAATATACAGTAAATAGGCTTTCATCCACTTGGTATCTCAAAAAAAGGAATGGACAAAGTCCAAGAGAAAAGCTAGGAATGATCCAGTCTAAAGAGTCTTGACATAGATCATAGAGCTCAGCCTTCACGGGTTAGAGGAACTATTCTGATCTACATACAGTTCTGGCAGAGCCTTAGTCACAGATTCAGAACTATCAGATTCAGACTATCTCTATGAAAATAAAATACTGAAAGATGCTGCAATCAGGAACTGGAATGCAACAGAAATAATAGCCCTTAATAAAGTTACCATGAATAGAAGACAACGCAAAAAACCTAAAATTCCCAACAGGCCATAAGACTGAACCCTACAACACAAACATGAATATTTTCAGAAAGCAGTTTACAATAATCTAAGATAAGAGAGGAAAATTTTGACAGCAGTCCAGAACAGTCCAGACAATCAGGAGAAATACCCATTTTATGACACAGTAAAGATTAATCTCTATTTTCACAAACTCTTAAAAATAAGCAGGCAATAAAAATATCCAGAAGAATTTGTCTTCCTCATGAATCAAAAAGTGAAAAATTTCCATTTATAGCATAAGACCAGCATAAGTTCATAAGATATTAATAAACCCCATGGAATGCCTTTAAGTCAATAGCAGTTAGCTAATATTTCTTCCTCCTTTCACATCTTACCTGGAACATAGCTATTAATTTCAATTGACACTAACATTATCTGTAACAGCACTACTAAATGACAGGGGTAGAAAAAGAAGTGCTGTTACTTTTCCAATTTACTCCTAGAAATGATTTTTTAAAAATTATTTTGACCGATAAAAAAATTCAAGTCTGTAAAGCACTCTCAGGAACTGTGACTATAGAGTAAGTTTAAAAAATTCATTACATAACTTCCATTTTTCCATAATCTTTAACTCATTTGTTTGCAAGATCTTCCAAGAATTAATTTTTCTTTCTGAATACACTGCTTTTTAGATGAATATCAATATGACTAGCCTTTTTCTGGTTTATAGGAGTCTGGTGCTATTAGTTGTCTTATGCTCCCTCTACTGACTCCGTAAGAAATGGCCCCAAAACCCTTTAAGAAGATTCTCTGAAAGAAGAGTTTAGAATTCGATATAATACTTCAAGGAATTAAAAAGGCACAAAGTACAATTCTGTGGAGTGCCAAATCCTTGTGAAAAATCAGAGTAGAGCATATGTCTTCTACTTCTTTCTAAGGCAGAAGCCTTCGAAAATAAATCCTTCCTGCAGCATCCATGATATTAATTACTATACAAGCCATTAATGATACTCAGGAAATTTCTTCATAATGTTTCAAGGGTTTTATATTTAGGTGGAAAAAAAAGAACTTAAAATTTCCATTTTTGCATAGTTCTTAGCAATATTTCTTTATAAACTTTGCTGCTCAGTTGAATCCACAAAATCTACCCGAAGTCTCCTGTTTACCCTTTATAATGTGATGTGAAGCACAGAAATCTAGTACCAGTGTGACATAAGCACCATATTTACTTTTCACATTTTGAAAATAACTCATGATGTGACCAATGGAATATAATCTATAAAATACATCCATGAAAGTTCCCCACAATTCAGAAATGACTTCATGAAGGACTTAGTATACTACTTCTATTATCTTGTAAGGTGAATGATCTTCAGAATGGCTTATAGTTTTGCTACTCTTTTACTGAAGAAAAATGAGTCATCTATTGTGTTGTTATGGGGCTTTTTTTCATAAACCGTTTCATTTAATAAGGATAATACGGGAATGTCTGTCTCTAGTACATGAAGTGTAATACGTTATAAGATTTAAATACATAATTCTGTTGTTACTGACGTGGTTTAGCCCCAGCCGGTAGCCAAGTGCCACGCGCCGCTCGCTCACCCCTCCCCCGGCGGGATGGGGAGGAGAACGGAAAAACAAGGGCAAAGCCTCGAGGGTTGGGATAAGGGCAGGTTACTGGGACAGCAAGGGAGAGGGAAACAATCAACAACAGTGCTGATAACAGATAGTAACAATGGGTGATAACAGAGAACGATTTACCGATCCCACGACCAACCAACGGGACGGTCGACCCGTCCCGGAGCCACGCCGAACCGGCCCCTGCCCGACTAGCCCCCTTTTATGGTGAGCATGATGTCTCATGGTATGAAATAGCCCCCGGCCAGCTTGGCTCACCTGTCCTGGATCCTTGGGAAATTAACTCTATCCTTGCCAGAACCAGGACAGTTACATCTAGCAAAAGCTATTAAACTAGTTTTGTTGTATATTAGAAACAAGTGATTCCATACAATAATGAAATCTACATCATGATACGCCATGAAACTAAGCTTTTGTCATTATAGACACTAAATATGAAGCAAGATAAAAATCAGAAAGCTATGATGAAATATGATTCCTAAATTTCCTACACAGACCTCTATTCCACTCAGCATTAACAGAATCCAGGTACTTACCAGATCAATCAGACTCTCCTGGATTCTGTTCAGTGTGGTGCGTAATCTGCTGCTACTGAGGCCCAGTCCTGTCGATTCAAACTGGAAGAAATACATTCTGTTTAAGTTGGGAAAGGAAAACTCAGTGGTTTAAACTTTACAGTGATACAGCAAAACTTGTTTGCGAACACTAGCTACAATTTAAAGTTTTAGCACATAATCAATGGAGGTCACGGCACTCAACACTGCACAGGCATGAAGAATGACCCGAATACCTTTTATGAAGATGACAGCTTACCATTCATACCAATAAACAACCAGTATCCTTTATAGTTATAACACTGTATTTGGGTGTAGGGCTCTAGATTTCCTCATTTGGGAGACAAGCCCAGAATGGTGCATCACAATGCCCCCACCAAGACTCTGTATGCATACCATGCCCAAGCCAAATGTTCTTTACTTCTCTTTCAAGCTATATAATTTCTTGTAATTCCTTATTAAATACCTAACTTGCATATGTAAAATTATATCCATTGATCTTTATAAAACAGTCATTATTACTTAGTGCTTACAAAGATCTACCTGAGAAGTGTGCCATCTTCATGTTCACGCCTCAGAAGTATTATGGGGCAGATGATCAGCTGGGATAAATCAATATAGCTACACTGATTTCCTGGTAAATGCAATGAACTATACCCGCCAAGGGTCTGATTCGACACGTGTAATTAATGTAGCTACTTATCTTATACTTCAAATTAAAAACAAAAAAAAGAACAAACTAAGACAACAAAGGAAGTGGAAATCACACAACTAAGAAACACGCATTTATGTCAAGAATCTGGAAGTATTTTAATACAGTTCTGGTACGTGATTCACACCAAAAGGCAATTCACTGAACAATATTTAGAGCACTGTTATACACTGTATTACTAGACTTCCTTTCAATGCACTAAATCAGGGAAGGAAGTGTTCGAGTTCATGTCATCCCGCCCTCTCCTTTAAATACAGAAAGGTATAATTTAGGTCCCCATTTACTGCATCTAACATTTCTGACTAAAGATGTCCCCCTGCCTCAACGCTCCTATATATTCAATGAAAATTTACATCTGAGCTGAATTCCCACTGGAAGTACATTCTGCTGAAATCTAGAACCTGCTCTAGGAGACATAAATCACTATTCTAGTGTCCACATTTGATAAAAAGTGTTCATGACTTTGTCTTTCCACAGGTGAAGTAGGCTTTTACAAAAATAATTTGTATTTTTCTTCACAATTTTACTGTAGAAGTATCAGTTCCAAATGCCTTTGATTTTGCAGGTATATGGGTGAAAAAGAAAATAACTTTTTTCCCTTTAAGAAACACATCCTTAATTCTCCAAATTTTCCTCCTTAACATCATATAGCAGTTTTTCAAGATACGGCCATAAGGACTGCAAATTCAAGACTGGCTGTTCTCCCTGTTAAGGTAAGAACAAACAGAAAGAATACCCTGCTTAAAGGGGAAAAAAAATACATGTATTAAAAAACACATTTGCAGATTTCAGACATTAAATTTCGTTTTAAGAAATATGCACCTGCACCATCAAAACCACACACCACACAATCTGCCACTAAACTTTTATCTTTCTGCCTTTCAATTACTAACTTTCAATAGCTATCAGTGACTTTCACTTACTTGTTCTATAATGATGTATTTCTTTCTAAAAAATGGCAATTTCACATTTGAAATTTTAAACTGAACGAGGGTCAATTTAGATTAGAAGTTAGGAAGAAATTCTTCACTGTGAGGGTGGTGAGGCTCTGGAACAGGTTGCCCCAGGAGGCTCTGGAACAGGTTGCCCCAGGTGAGGCTCTGGAACAGGTTGTGGATGCCCCATCCCTGGAAGTGTTCAAGGCCAGGTTGGATGAGGCTTTGAGCAACGTGGTCTAGTGGAGGGTGTCCCTGCCCATGGCAGGGGGGCTGGAACTAGATGATCTTTGAGGTCGCTTCCAACCCAAACCATTCTATGACAAATCCAGATTTATCACGCAACCAGTTACAGCCTGAAGTCAGAATTGTGCATCCATATGTATGAGGGGGGAATAAAAACAAACAAACAAAACAAAAAAAAGATTGTTGCTCAGCATTTTTCCACAGGACAGAACCTCATGGCTTCACACAGAACATGTCACTCATCAGTATAAATGTTTTGCTTCATGGAAGTTTTTGCTATTTCTATATGCAAAATGATAGATACTTAAATTCCACAAATTGACCAACTAGTAAGGTTAGTAATTAGACAATTTACAGAATAATTTTTCTCATCACAAATTCTACATAACTCCCTACAGTTTAAAAAAAAAAAAAAGTAAAAAAATTAAGTGTTTTCTATAAGAATGGCCATTGGTTTACAGCTTGTTATAATGTCTTCTCAAAAAAATTAAAACTCACCTCGAATTTATTCTGCTAAGGAAGATTATTACGTGGCATTCATGAATGTCTTACACTTTATCAGTAGATATTAAATATAGGCAATTTCTTTTAATTTCATGTTAGGTTGCTCCATAATTTGAGATAAGGAGGAAAGGCAGACTTAACTTGCATCCCACAAATTAAAAAGGTTTTGAAAGAGCAATTCTGGTTACAATGGTGTGCAACTTTTGGCAATGAAGAAAGCCAAATACTGACTACATAGGATAATCATTGTAAAGAGTTCTGGAAAGTGCAATGACTTAGCATTATGACTGTTAGCATTATGACTGGACACAGAAGTCAACATGAATATTTTAAATCCTTAATTTTCACTGAACTGGCAATGAACTCTGTACAATTAATCATTCTCCTTTATGCATGTACTAACTCACACATACAACACAAGCACAATATTCACAAATAATTTCAACCATTTAACGAAGTTATATTATCAGCATACTTTTAAGAATCCCATTTGATTGTATTTTGTAAATAAAAATAAAACAGGAACACTCTTAGTGGTCTAAATCACATACCATCACCCATCTCTACTTTCTAAAGGTTTATAAACACTATGGGGAACGAGGACATTTAAGTAGCATTACAAGAGGGTTTATCACATTCACAGACCCTTTGTAAGCACTATGTTTCCCATGGAAAATCATCTGTCGAAACAAAAATTAGGCACGCTACAAAAACATCACAATTTCACCACCCATCTGCTATAATGTTTACCTGCCTAGCACTGTGCTGTTCTCTGTTAGAAGTAGAGAGTGAGGAACTCAGTATGGGCTTTAAAAACACAAAATGGGAGGTGCAAAAAAAAAAAAAAAAAAAAAAAAAAAACAAAAAACTAAGCCAATGGAAATCAATTATCTTAACAAAAAAAAACCAAACAAAAACCCCCCAACCCAAAACCACCCATCTTCTAAACACAAAGTGCAAATACATTTGTCCTGCCAAAGAGAACAGCTCAAAACCATGTAGAACCATATGCTGAGTCTGAAAATCCATTACAATTTGCCAACAGATGATGATGAATTTGGAACCCCACGATATTACTTGTGGAGTAATTTAGGGGCCAAGAGAGGAGAAAATTGTTTTTACACGTAGCTTTTCATAAATGCTTTATGACAATTCTGTTGAAACTTGATCTACGTTATGTACAGACATTGCCAACAAGCATTTATTTCAACTACAAGATGACTCAAGAAAACCCTTGTTTTCATTAATGCAATTAGTTTGACAGAAGAATACAAGATCTGAAAAAGTGTATTTCAAACCTCTTAAACCTGAGTTGCTACTTAAATTTCATGGCCCTCTTCTCCTCTTCCTTTTGCTATTCTTATCTAAGTTACAGAAATACATACAGGAAAATTAAATCACCTCATACTCTCTAGGCTCCAAACCACCACTCTCCTTCTGTAGACTGCTCCTTTGCTCCCCACTTTCTGCCACTACTTTTAGGTATTTCACATTGTCTTTCCTCCCTTTCAAATCACTGCTGGGAAAAAAATGTACAGAATCTATTCAAAACATAATAGGATTCATGTCCCAGTGATAACGATGCTCCCAGTACTTATTCCCCTTATTGCTGATCTAATCAGCCTTTACTTACTCCTGCATTGAAATCCATCCTGTTGCCACTAATTTTTTCTGGAGATTACATATTAGGTAGTATTTTAAGTAGAGAGATCTCCTCTGTATTCGTGTTCTGGGTGTACAGTGATACTTGGAAATTAATAATGTTTCTACCTACCGTGTCATTTCGGCCAAAAAACGTATACACTGCATAGAGATAGTAATCGAAGAGCTGGGACATGAAGTGGATCACATCAAATGCAATTGGTTTCAGAATATTCATCATCTGCATGTATTTTCCTTAAAAATCAAATACAGAAGATCAGTTTCCTCAGCACAAGTGCTACAAAGACAGTGCTGAGTTTGACAAACTCAAAGCCAGCTTTACAAAATTTATTATTTAGCCATGAATATAGATTAAGAACAACTTAGTAATATTTCAGAGATCGGGAGGTTTAAAAACAACGCTAAATATGATGACTAAGACACCACAAACGCTTCAAGACTTCTCCAAATGTGGATGTTAATCCATATCAAAATATCTTGGAACCATTCTTGGCATTCTGGTACCAAATTCAAAATATACAACCTTCTGGATTCTCTACAAGTTTCAGCTCCCTTCAGCCAAAAAATAATAAACCCCTAAAGTAGTCTCTAACAAATGATATATAGAGCCACTGAAGATTTTATGCATTAGTCTGTGTTTATATATGCACATATGGATATTTTTTAAGTGTCAGAAAAGCACAGTATGAAAATGATATGCCCAAGATTGGATTTCACCCAACTCTAGGAATAACGTATTTCACATCAGCGACACAGCATTTCCTGCTCTCCTTCCTTCTTATCCTGGGGTAAGAAACCCAAATAAGTTTAAGATGTATGTCTGACATATCTAGAGGGATAGACTTGACAGAAAAGGAGGATGCTGGGACCCTGGCACATCCAGGGAGAAGAATAATTCCTTCTCTTCCTTCCTGTTCTCTGTTGTTGCACATTCGTCTTGGGAAAACAAAAATTTAAAAAATAAAAAAAAACAAACCCTAAAACCAAAGAACCAAGTAACAACTCAGGACCATCTATATGTAAGCTGAGTCAAACTGATCATATAATTTGGATTCGGAGAGAAATTCTTCCCTACAGATCTGGTTCACAGGGCCTACAGTTTTTAGTTATTTATTAGTCTTCCAGCATAGGACATGGCTCTTTTCAGAAGGTCATACAAGAAGCGTGCTTAATGAAAACTCTGATACTGCAGAGACACTACGTTTCCTGCTGGCTAGCTTAGATATAACACACTGCTTGCCCGATTAGCATCTTAAAAACATAAAGAATATATAATAAGCTTTGGGTTATTATAGTAACAGACAGCAATTTTTGAACCAAAAAGTAAATACAATCCACCCAGCGTGTAGAATACAGCAGATCATTTAACAAATTCTCATGTTCCAGACATGTTTGGATGTGACAGGTTTGAAAAAATTACATGAGGGTGGGTGCTTAAATAATTTCTTTTGCCTGTACTCAACAACACTGTTTTTCAAGTTAATGCTGTGCCCAGCAAAGTAATTTACTAATCGATACAGAACATGTTGTTTTAAACAGAGAAACTGAGTAACAAAGAATCAAAATCAGCTTTTAGTATAGGGAGTTATTTGAACTTTTTTTAAGCAATTACTTGTCTAGGTCAGTAAAGATATTCATTTGACTTATACATGATACAGCTACATACCTGGTAAGATGATATAGCACTATGGGAAGAATCAAGCAATAACCTGAGATTGCTACTTTCCAGGTTTCTATGTGGCTTGGACCCCCTGCTTGAATACTACACATCTGTGCCCCAGTTTGCTAACACGTGCAAGCATATATTTTGTTATTTTTGGAGATTTGACACAGGTTGCAATATTTAATATTTGGCAGTTTAGGCCAATTGTTAATTCTACGCGTAATTATTAATGTTTAGATCTACAGCATTATGAATAAACTGAAAAGCAAACTTTAAAAAATCTATTTGTCTTCCAAAAGAGAAAACCAAATGCAGCCAATTCCAGCACAGCCCTATGTGGCAATTTTCGGATGTTTGGGAGAGGATGGTACCCTAATCAAAACAACTGTCACCTTCATATTGGCTATCTGAATATTCTTTCTGTATTGCCACAGGCTGATTTTTTCCACTTACTCTGTGATAAACACATTTTTAAACTCACCTGCAACCCATACACAATATAAGGGTGATGTGTCACATTCTGGACAATCAGATTTCAAAATATCTGTGCAGCTGACATGAATATTCAAGGTAATCTCTTGGGGAGTATTTTAGGCTTTTCCAAAGGGCTATGCACTGTACACTGCCCAAGTACTGTCCCTATAAAAACCTTCTGATGCCAAGAACATTTCTCTATTACTACATCACTCTGCATCTTGACACAACAAGTGTTCCAAGAACATTTCCTCCTAGTTGCTCTCTCTAACAGGATGCCAATTTTTAACTTTTACGCATTGTTACCTAGTTGCACTGAAGTTCCTATTTTGGGTGAAAAGGGGGTATATGAGAACATTTCCAAACAGCACTAACAGTTCAAATCCACACTGTGCTAGAAACTTCCAGAAATACTTGTGTGGTGGGTTGACCCTGGCTGGAGGCCAGGTGCCCACCAGAGCCGCTCTATCACTCCCCTCCTTAACTAGACAGGGGAGAAAAGGTATAACGAAAGGCTTGTGGGTCGAGATAAGGACAGGCAGAGATCACTCACTAATTATCATAACCAACAAAACAGACTGAACTTAGAGAGAAAACTCATCTAATTTATTACCAAGCAAAATGGACTGGAAGAATGAGACATAAAATCAAATCTTAAAACACCTCCCCCCACCCCTCCCATCTTCCCAGGCTTAACTTCACTCCCACTTTCAACCTCCTCCCCCCTCAGAGGCACAGGGGGACGAGGAATGGGGGTTACGGTCAGTTCATCACACGGTGTTTCTGCCACTCCTTCATCCTCAGGGGGAGGACTCCCCAGCTCCAGTGTGGGGTCCCTCTCACAGGAGACAGTCCTTCACGAACTGCTCCAGCGTGGGTCTCTCCCACGGGGTCACAAATCCTGCCAGCAAACCCGCTCTGGCGTGGGCTCCTCTCTCCACGGGTCCACAGGTCCTGCCAGGAGCTTGCTCCAGCGTGGGCTTCCCACAGGGTCACAGCCTCCTTCAGGTGCCTCCACCTGCTCCAGAGTGGGGTCCTCCATGGGCTGCAGGTGGAATCTCTACACCCCCTCATCCTCCCTCCATGGGCTGCAGGGGGACAGC